TGGTGGAAGTAAAACAAACCTTGACAAAGTGCATATCAACTCCATAAAGTTCCAGCCACTTGCATTTGTTGAGAAAAGAAATCTCTGCCTGCGAAGGGCTCTTGCCCCTGAAGACAAGTGAACACAAGACAGGTTATTACACCGCACCGTCAGTGTGTACACATGGTTTGAAAAAAACAATCTTTAGGTCTTAAAAGTACTACGCACTGAGTTATTGGTGTTAGCTCTTTGGGAAGTGTTTGGTGAGTAACTGCCCGCCTGCGTCATTCACTCGTTCTCATGTGTACGAAGGACTAAGAATTGTGTGGGTTTGTCCTTGTGTGGCCCGGTGGAAATAAGCATATGTGTGTGTGTGTAATCTCATCAGACATAGGGACCCTCAGATCGTAGCTAGGTTAAATACTGCAGGAATCAATCAGGACCCTCCAGGCATTAATCCCTTAATCCGACAAACAGATCAGTGAGAGGCAGGCAGCGTGAGAGGAGGAAGGACAGAGAGACTGATGAGTGGTCAGTGCAAAACACGGTCAATGAGGTGTAGAGAAGGTGAGGGGAGCTGATGACATTATTCCACCTTAATATCAATTCGGAGAACACACTTCAATTTTTATGGTTGTCTGAGATTGAAGCGATGACACGACAGCTTTACTGGCACTTGATGAAGTGTCCACCTCTGCAGCCTCTTACCTCGGGCCCCAAACTGTCTTCAAATGTCTTTGCAGACGTCAGACTTTTTCTCTGCTAAATGGTCTCATTCAGTGAAGAGGTGAAGAAGACGACGGCTCATTAGTCTCATCAATCTATTGACTGCTAATAAGAAACGGCTTTACTCTAATAACGCAGGGATACAGGCATCACCTGGAACCTTAAGTCTGACAGGGAGAGAAAAAAGGAGGTGGCTCAAATTGTGGGGTTTGGCAAGGAGAGGTCGATTTAGAGCAGGGGTCATTTTGGTTCAGGGGCCAGTAGAATAATACATGACATAATTACCTGAAAATAACAAAAATTCAGACTTTATTCCTTTTGATTTCATGCAAAAAAGTACATTAGATAAATATTCATATTTATATGTTTTTGTTTATTTTCAAAATTCATTGAGTTGGCCAAATAAAAAAATTCAAACGGGACAATTTTGGTCCATGGGCCGTATGTTTGACACCCTTGATTTTAGCTGTGGAGGGGAAACTGGAGTAACCTGGGAAAACATTGAATTTGGAACAAGCAAAGCTTAATTATAAATACTGTACATGAGAAATGAAATCTGAAATAATACACACATCAGTGGTATTTGTCTCTTTATCTGAAGTCTTTCAGGTTCCTTTTTAATGTAATTTTTTTTTCACAGTATGTAGGGGCTGTTTACTGGTGGGCCAACTCTAGTACACACATGATCTCGTGGGCCAGATTTGGTCCCCGGGCCAGAGTTTGACACATGTGATCTAAGCCGTCCCACTTATGTAAGAAGGAACGGAGGCATCTGAGTGAGAAAGGAGGAAAACAGACCAATGAAACTGTATTTTCTGTTTCCTTTTGTAACACTGTTTGTACTACATGTGCATGTGCTTGTGTGTAAATGTATGGTGCTGTGTGTGTGTGTGTGTGTGTGTGTAGGTTGTGGGGTTGTCTCCTGGTGGAAGGCCCACAGTGTCGCTCTTTAAAACCCCCAGATTTACACCATCTGTTTCTCAGGAAAATGTTTATTCACATTATAAATAAAGTGACAAGTGTCCTGGTTTTTTTTCTGGCATGGAATCCAACAAAGCTCATTTTTGCAAATGGCAGCGTGGGCTCATGATGGTTTTGTTGCACTTTTTGGCTTCATATTAAAAATGACACAGCTGGGTTCTTTTTTTTCTAAAGGTGTGAGAAGCGAGTGTGTTATATATATATATATGTGTGTGTGTGTGTGTGTGTGTGTGTGATAGGATCATCTGAAAGTCACCCTGATGTGATGTGTTCATTTGTAGCGACGCTGCCAGTGAAAAACAGAGCCAGTAGGTGGCAGTCCAATTGGCACCCGTGGCCATCAAGGCATTTCTTAAATCTAAATAATAATAATAATAAAGAATAAAAGTAAAAACCAGTGCATAGAAGTTATGAAGCAAGGCATTCAACTGGAGTAATAGCACCCCCATCAGGGGAGAGTAAGGTACTTTGTGTGTGTGTGTTTTTTGAAGATAGCAAGAATTGTTACATATTTTTCTAATACTATACATTATATACAACACATACACACATACACATATATTTTGTATATATATATATACATATATATGTATATATATATATATATATATATATTTTTTTTTTTTTTAAATTTCATTTGGCTTTTTTTACCTTAGTTCACGCCACTTGTTGAAAATGTCCGCCTCCATGGTCTCGCACTGTTTGGGAGTAAAACGAAACTCTGACACCAGCTCTGGAGAGTGATCCAGTGGATCACAGTCTCCCAGTTCACCTGAAGAAACACACACACACACACTTTTTAATTAACTTTCTCTCTTAGTGCGTTCTCTTCTATATGTTGAAATAAACATAAAAAAAGAATGAAGTAAAAGGAACAAAGAAAACACACACAGTCCAGTCGTTAAACCACAATTTGCATTAAAAATCCATTCGTTTCTCATTCAGAGGATAATTATGTAAAATGGACGTTAAAGTTTTATTTATATGATCAGTATTTCATAAAAAAAAAAAGAGAAAAAAAGAAATCACTTTCCTTGAGGCCCATTAAAAAATATGCCAAGGCAACTTTGAGTGTAAGTGAATAAAAAGTAGAAAAGCACTGAATGGGCGTGTGTGTGTGTGTGTGTGTGTGTGTGTGTGTGTGTGTACTCACTCTGTAGGCAGTAGGCTGCCAGCTCTACTGAGACGTCATAAGGGCATTTGAGTCTGAGGAAGAAAAGAGACACGTGATGACGAACTGGCTCCTACCCCGGGTGTTGGTAAAAGTTTCTGAATGACCTACATCTGTGTGTCTGTGTGTGTGAAAGAGAGAGAGAGAGAGAGAGAGAGAGAGAGTAGAGGAGCAACCCCTTCCTAAAATAAGTAGCCCTCTGCTGTTCCTGATCTTGAGTTTTATATTAGAGCTGGACTCGGGGGATCCATGGCCCAGATAGGACCACGAGTGGAAGACAGAGAAACAGAAAGAAAGAGAGAGAGACAGAGAGAGAGAGTGTTTTTCTGTAGTAAAATCCATTGTATCACCGACCCCTAAACTCTTGTGTCGATGACCTGAGTTACACCCAGGTTGGAGTGTGTGAACATCACATTTCATCATTCTTGTAAAACCCACAGGTTCTCCAACACTGCCCCCGGTGGTAACGGAACACGGAGCAGAGGGTTCTCCTGACACCGTTCTTAATTTCCTTTCTTCACAGGTCAGTGGCCTCTGACTCAGGGACTGTTGTTTCCTTCACTCTCACTCTGCACTTGAAACTTTTGTCCTTGCGCCGTGTAAGTTTGCTGACTTTGTCGTAACATAGTGAGGCGGGCGAGGGGCGGGGCTTAGCCAGTATAGGTGTCATTATCATGTTTCACAGTCAATTAAAAAAAAAGAACATTACTACTCTGAAAGTCTGCTGCTCACTGGCTCTACATAAACACATTTGGGAAACCTATGGGTCACGGGAGGGGTGGGTGCAGGGGTGAGGGGTGAGGGGCTGTAATGGAGGACTCATATAAGCCTGAACAGAAAAGAAGCTTCGGCGACAGAAAAACAGAGACATGAAAATGTATATTTTTAAATCTCTCCCAGACGGCGGAGTTAATGGAACCAAACTTATTTATAACCACCGCAAAGTTGAGTTTTCTCATCACTTTGAGTCTGAAGTATCACTCAAATATATTCCTCGCTGCTGAGGCCGACAGATCTCCAAACCACATGTAGCTGCTCAGTTTGTTCTTTAAGCAGAACAGAGGCTCCTCAGTCTATGACCTACGACGCTCCTTTGTTATGTCACCACGTCTATGACCTACGACGCTCCTTTGTTACGTCACCACAGGCGGTAGTACACTGTTTGCCCTCTGTTATGGCTCATAAGCATTTTTGTACTTGTGCTGTCAGTGTATTTGTCAGAA